CTCTGCGCTGACAGCCGAGAGCCTGATGCAGGGCTCGAACTCATGACCTGTGAGATCATGACCTGAGCCAAAGTCAGATGCTCAACCGAGTGAGCCACCCAGGTACTCCTTGACTCTTTCAAAGCTACCTGGGACAGAAAAGCATGCTGGGAAGTAAAATATCTGGTCTTAGCTAGAGTGTAAATGTGCCTGTCTTGGGTGGTGTGGCACTGGTGATCCTTTAAACATCACAAAGCAGGCATCAGAGGGACAATTTTTTTCACATTGGTAAGAATTGCCATCAAATGTGCTTTATTTAAACAAATTCCACACGTTTATGATTATAAAAATAACAAATGTTTATTCTAGAGATTTGAAAAAATAGAAAAGTTTAAAGAAGAAAATAAAACTTACGTGTAATGCAACCACTCAGAGGTAACCCCTATTAACTTACCTCATCAAAAGAGTTAAATGAAGCCAGTATTTCAACCCATCTTGTTTTATAATTATTTTTCTTTAAATCTACTCTACAGAGTTACGCTTCACTCCTGGTGTCTGTTAGCCCTCTCCCCTACTTTATTAAGAAGGCAAAATAGGATCTAAAGGCTTGGCTGTAGATGTTACGGGAGATAGAACTCAGAACTGCTAGGAAATTTAGACAGTGGCTTTGGACTGCTAATGCCACAAATCTTATGCTTCATTGATGCCACATTATTTCATAGTTATCATCTGACTCCCTGCCAAGCAAGTGCTCCTCGATGATTGGTCGGAATGGTTAAGGAGCATCGTGGTTCCTCATTCCAGGTTGACCTGTGCTTGTGCTGAGAGATGCTGACGGGCTTCTTCATCTGATGACCCCTTCTCTCTTGCTTGTGTCCAGTTCCTGCTGTTTTCATGGCTGGTGGTGGCTGTGAATTATGCGGGGGTACTGGTCATGGTGGTGACTGTAGAGAAACTACTAGGGAGAAAGACAGATTTTTATGATGAAAAACTGTACTCTCTGCTTCCCGCTTTTGCCTTTTAATATCAGAAAGTAGAGTTTATTTCTCTATCAAGGTTTTGTCCCTGACGTCTTTTTTGGGGCTGGTTTCAAAGCAGTTTGGCAAATAAACACACAAAGCCGTTACCAGGCTGCCCCGGGATTCTCCACCGTTCACCTGGCATGAACCTGGTTTCTTGTCCTCGGCAAATGGCTGTTTACCAGATGGCTCTAAACACATGCATTCCAACCCCTTCTGTTTGCTCCCTACTTGAGTGTGCCACAAACTCGTGCAAGGGGATGTTGAAGAGGGAAGTGCATAATGAGTGAGAATGTAGGCATCGCTACCTACTCAACACATGTTCTATATAATATATGCACACACTTGTAAAAACCTCCTGAGCAGAAACTCAGCTACTACAAAGTCCAAGCTGCATTTAATGGCCCGTCAAGTCAATTTGCAGAACTTTTCCACATTCCCATGACGCTTGTATTAAGGAGTCTGGGGAAGAAACACAGCCCAGTTTGCTCAGACAGGCTTGGCAGTGGGAGATGGTGTCTCTGTAAATGGGGATGAATCAGCCGTCCCTATGCCTTGCTTGGGACCTGGTAGCTCCAGAACTACTCCAAAGAGTAGGACAGGCTGCTGGGATGTCTGCCTTGGGGAAGGGGCTTAGTCCCCACCAGAGAGCCTGGGGTCTGGCAGAGTCTTCTTTCTTCTTGAGGCTCACTCTGTGCCATGGGACTGGCCTGTGGCTTCTAAGCTTTCTTCCTTTTGCTGGATTGTGGAGGGAATCTTTAACTACTTGTGGAGTTCTCTTATCTGCTGCCTGGGAGAGCTGACTATTTCTCCATAACCCCCGAACTGTAGCAGACTGCTGCGAAGCCGTTTTTCCATTGCCCCACTTACCCTCTAATACCAAAACGGAGATATCCCCTGTGTGGAGCTGGATATGTAACCAGTACATTAGCATCCTTTCCTAAATGGCTTTATTCCTTTCACTTATAAATGGCCCCTTTGCTCTAGCGGGATAAGGGAATGGGGCTTCTCAGGGCTCACTCTTCTCTTTTCTCCATCTGCTCTGTTGGGAAAGAGGTATGTATGGGAGTCTTGGAACCTCGAAACTTATCACTTAACACTTCAAATCAGTGAGGATGTGTAATGAAAGAAAATCACTTTCTCTGGGTAGAGATTTGTTTTTGACCCTGTCCATGCCCCAGTCATTATAGTCGCTGGGCTCTACCTACCCAAAAGAAATCTAAGTTGCCAGTAATTCAGGTCTTGACCATTTTCCCATTAAAAGTGATATTTAATTGGTCGTTTAATTCTGACTCTGTTTTAGAAAGTCCAGAGAAGATTAGGTTACTACAAAGCTCAGTCTCTCTAGTTGTCTGAGGGTAGCCTACGGGGAGGTAATTTTAAAGGAGAGGAGGGGGGTAAAGTGCAGGTTATTCTCTCTATGTTGAGAATCGGTCAGCCTCTCTAAAGATTGGAGTCAACTTTTCATGCTGTATCTTGATGATCTTTAAATTGTGTTTTATATCTCTGCAGTCAGATGCCCTGGATGCAGCTAGAAGGTGATTCTCTGTACATATCCCAGGCTAATTTCATCCTGGCCTATCAGTTCCGCCCAGATGGTGCCAGCTTGAACCGTCGGCCCCTGGGAGTCTTTGCTGGGCATGATGAGGACGTTTGCCACTTTGTGCTGGCCAACTCGCATATTATCAGTGCAGGAGGGTAAGTGCCGCAGAGTTCTCCTCCTTCTTTCTTAGCATTCTTCAGGGAACTTCTGCCTTCCTGCCTCTCACTTTTCTGTCTCAACTCCAAAGGGATGAGGAGGGAGACCATAAGAAGAGGGAGTGTTGTTTTTTTTTTTTTTCCATTTGAAGCAGAGAGATTTACCAAAGGCACTTAATAGGGTTAGCCAGAGAAGGAAAACAGGAAGAGCCTTTAATGAAAAGTGAAGCTGGTTTTGATACTCTCGAGGGGGAAATTTGTTTTGTCTCTCAGCTCTGTTCAGCCCCAAGTGTACTGAGGAAGTAAAGTTATCTCGAAGCTCAGCACCTTATTTTGAGCTGAGTTGCCTAAAACTTAGCAGATTTGGACATCACTAGAGACTCGGGCTGCTTCCGTAGCTTTGTTCTCTTCCGACAGAGAGAATAATTGGTTATTGGGAATGGGCTCCTTATTTCTCTCCTAGAGATGGGAAGATTGGTGTTCATAAGATTCATAGCACCTTCACTGTCAAGTACTCGGCTCATGAACAGGAGGTGAACTGTGTGGATTGCAGAGGGGGCATCATCGTGAGCGGCTCCAGGGACAGGACGGCCAAGGTGAGTGGTGTCCCCCTTAGGTACTGTTATTCCCTCCTGTCTATAGGGAGTGGGGTGGGAGAGGGTGGATAGGGCCTTGAGTCTTGGGATTGGCTGAGGGCATTGGGTGGGGGCAGCAGGGGGACAACACGATAAAGGACTCACTTATGTGCCTCTGGCATGCGGCTGGCCATGCCAGGCTACATCCCTGCCAGCTGGCCTGAGAAAGGAGTGGACAGTGGCTGGGAAGCTTGCCACTCACTTGAAATGTGGCGTGAACTCAAAAACAGAGGGCCTGGCCAGCTTTTCCTCCCTGAGCTGAATTTCCTCAAGTTTGTGGGTTGAGTTCTGACCCCAATATTTTATTTTAAAATCTCCCTCCTTTTGCTTGCTTTCTGTTTAGGGAGGTTAATTTTTCACCACCTTGTTTATAAGCAATCAGGCTGATAATTAAAATGTGTTTTTACTGCTTCTCTGGAGAGTGATGTGGTCAGTAAGCAGTAGAAAGACGAGGAGAGAAAGGCGTTTTTGGTGCGTCATTGCCAAACTGCCTGGTCTACGGTCAGACTTCTGCCAAGGCAAAACAGAATGAGGTTGAGAAGTAGTGTGACCTCTGCTTTATGGACTCCACTCACCCACGTTTGGGTCAAACAGGCCTCCACCCATGACACAGAGAAGAACTTCTGTCTCCATCCCTGTGTCCCGCAGCCCCAGGCAGGGCCCGCACACGCCTGGTCCTTTGGGGCTGCTGTGGGAACTCTGCTGACAATTAAGCTGAGGTGCAGGAGGCCTGGTAGTATCTTACTCGCCTGTTTCCTCTCAGCATCTGGAGATCATAGCACCAACAGGAGCAAAATGCCTGTTCGTGTCAGCAAACGGGCCTCTGAGACACCTAGGGAGGGTCTCAGGAGAGGGCAGTGGCACTTTTTATTCACTAGCTTTTCTGACTCCACGTACCCTCTGGTGATTACTCCTTCCTATATACATGCCACCAATTGATATAAAAAGAAGGGCTACGTATGTTCCTTTCTATTTACGGAAGCTTCTCCTCCCTTGGCTATTTTCTTCCTAACACTTTGCATTCTGTCAGAGAGACATGCACACCAGCACAGGAAGCCTGAGAAAAATCCAGAAAACCTTTGAACCAACTCGGAAACTGAAGTTCCTATTGCCTGTTTCCCATTCCGTCCACCCTATCCTTACTTCAGGGTTCTGATTGGTCGCTGTCGTTTTACCATTCCTTGAAAAGACACTGGCCTTAACTTGCTGTATGCCTCAGAAATAAATTTGCATAAAAATCTTTTTGGCACATGTGGCCTAACTATTCCCATCTCCTGGCATCTTCCTGTCATGGCTTCGAGCTTCCCCTGGCTCCTCCTTCTCAGTGACGTCTCTTCTAGTCTCTTCTCTGTGGTCTGATACCCAGAGCAGCATAAACTAAGCTTTATGACCGCAGGTGGCAATTCAGGGGGATGGGCTGCTATTCTAGTCAGGGACAGCATCTTTATTTGGGATATTGGATTTGTTTCATGTTTGAAGTACTAACGCAACCCCATTTAGTGGATTCGATTTTTTTTAAGCGTTAAAACAGGTACTTTCTAAATTCTAAAATTGTCACTGCAGCACATCGTATTCCTTTTGAGGATTTCTTTTAAGACAGTGACGGAATTCTCCCCCCGGGTTCTTCACCTCCAGAAAACTGGTCGGCTGTCTACGGGCTCCCTGGTGACTTCTGGGCCCGCTCATCTTTTCAGACTTCTGGATGCTGCTTCTGTTCCCACCATGTGGTTGTCTCTGCCTCTAGCCGCCTTCGTCTTCCTGACCCATTTGCACACTACCCACAGCCAGTCTTTTCTAGCCAGGTTTCCACGGCTTTTCGGTGGCTTCTGCAGTTCTGTAGCTGCTTCTAATATGCCCAAACCTATGCAAGAACTTAGGCAAACTCATGTTTGCCTGTAAAGATCTATAGCCTGTTTGTTGGGAGTTCCCCCAAATAGCTACTGTGTTTTAGGAAAGAGATTGTTTTATTGGGGTGAAAGGAACTAAAACATTTTCTTCGTAAGACTTCTGAGTTCTGAGTTAGCGGTTGCTCAGATTCTTCCTCTCCCTGCCCCTCCCCGCCCCTGCCAACCCTACTTTCAAGCTTATTGAGACTCTGTTTGGATTGCCCCTCTGGGCTTTAGTGAGGCCAGCCCCATCCTGAGATGTGATAGGAATGTAGGAATATTCTTCGTGGGCCTGGGCTGGTTCTGACCATTCTTTCATTGCCCCTTATTTCTCTGTTCTTTCATTCATTCTTTTAAGTGCCAACTGTATGCAAGGCTTAGTGTACAAGGCAGTAGGGTTTTTCAAAGGTAAGGAAGAGACTGCCCCTCTTTTTAAGGGGGGGCTGAAACATGTGTGCAGTGGCTGTGAAGCTGAGCGCAAGTGGCCAGGTCTGTCAAGTGTAAGCCTCTAGGGCCAGAGAGTTCAGGGGTGGAGAGATCACATCTGCCTTGAAAGGGGAGAATTTATGAAGGAGGGAACATTTGAACTTGGGTTTGTTTTTTCTTTTTCTTCTTTTAGTTATTTTTCAACGCATAGATTTGCTTGTTTGTTTTGTAACTGTATACACTGTAACCAGGCACAATGCTAAGCCCTTTACATTTGTTCATTTTCTCCGTTTATCCTTTAGGTTAATTTTATCCCTACATAATTATGCTTGTAATATATTGTGGATAGCCAATATACCCTACTGTATCTATTTTATAAAGTTTCCTATTATTATTACAAATTATTTGTGTCATCTTTAATGGCTTAATAAGTAATAAGAACCACCATTGTTGGGTGCCTAATACCTTCCAAACACTGTGCTATTACTGTGCCAGGTGCTTTATACATATCTTGACATTTCTGTAGCCCTCAAAAGATAGGTATTATTTCCCATTCTACACACGAGGAAACTGAGGCTACGAAGTCCTGAAATATCCCTAAGATCAGAGAGGATAAGTAACAACTGGGTTCAAACCCAAATGGGTCTGATTCCAAAGCCCATGCGTGCTCTTTCTGCAACCATAGGCTGCAGGGAATATTTTTACCACACAGGCTTCTCTTTGTTTTAGAATTATTTTCTTAGGATAGAATCTCAGCAAGAGAATTACTGAGTGTAAGGCTTCGGGCATTTTAAGGGTCCTGATACATATTGTCAACTGCTTCTTAAAAGGACTATGTAAATGCCCACCTCCGCTGAGATATGTCTTTTCCAGGGAAGGGTTTGTTTTGGATTTGACCACTGAGGGTGAAAGTGTGATCAGCATATTGTTGTCAACTCCTGTCCCTCAGGCATCATGACACTCGGGTTTGTGGCTTTCCCAACATCCGCTCAGAATTGGCAACATGCCTCCCGGAGGCCAGGAACCTTGTTCTGTGGTTTGTACGGTGTTGGAATCCACCAGCCCGTCCCGGGGGGAGGGGGTGGCACTGGTGAGTCCAGGACTGGAGTTGTCCCCATAGATGTTGTAATCAGAGTCCTTAGTGTCTCCTCACCTTCCAACCCGCCTCCTGGGGAGTTCGCATCTGAGGAAAGGCAAACCACTCTTCCAGGCCTGGACTATCTGAAAGAAGACAGTAGAAACGCCTCTAGTTACTAGCAAAGGGGCCTGATTGTAGATCCAGAAGAGTAAGCCAGAATCATGGCACTCCAGGAAAGTCGTGGTATTCACTTTTGTTTTCTGCCCCTCCTTGTTCAGAATCTTCTTAAGTTTATTTTCTTTTCCCTGTGTTGGAAGTAACTCATATATACCTTTTATACATACACAAGATCGAAAACACTTTCTCCTTTTATGGGGAAGACATGTCATGTGACCCCAAGAAGGCAAGACCACCCCCACTCCATCACCTGCCCCTTAAATTCAAGGAATGTTTCCTGAAAGTTCTTCCATCTAAGGTCCTGACTGGCTTTTGTGTGTTCCCCTTATAGCACGGCAGGGACCTTGAGAGGTCATTGATCCATCTGGCTGCCCCAGGATCCCTCCTTGGCTGCTGTCTGGGACAGCCCTGTACATTTGAGGCTTCCTTTCTGTTTGGTTAGAGGCTTATTTCCCTGACTGTGTCATCTAGGGTTGGGTGAGGTGAGGGGGGCCTTGTGCTTAATGGGAGATTTCTAAATGCACTGGCTGCTGAGAGGGCTCCCTGAGTGTTGATTAGAGTTAAGCCCGGAGTGGCTGCTAATGTACATTCCTGACTGATAGGGACCAGATAATGTGCTCCAAGCAATATTTTTAACCTGTAGGAGATATGGAAGCTTAAAAGAGTTAAGCTTTTCTGCTACTTTTGGTGACACTAGGTGCTAAATTCCCTGCCGACATGAATAGCACTGGATCCTGGGCATTATCAACAAACAAACAAGAACATACCACCTTCGTGCCTTGAAGCCTCTCTTCTTCCTCCGTTCTCCCCTTCTCTTGTGTCTTCCTTTCTGCTCCTCTCTCTTAATTCTGCTGTAATTCTGTCTTTGTTCCCCCATACTGTGCCTTGATCATCCTCCTTCTCCCTACCTCCCAAAGGAAAATCTGGGTGAGAGATAGGAAAGAGGAAAACCCACCAGCATGAGGAGGTTGTTGAGAGAGGCAAGCCGCACCTGCTCACCCGGCTTCGTCACGTCTCAGCTGGAGTGTGGAGCTCCTGATTCCCTGCTATAAAATTGGGTGGTGAAGAGAGCTCTCAAGTGGATGTTGAGGAGGGCGGTTCTGCCTGGGAGTCAGGTAGGCGAGCCGGAGGCTGGGGAAGCCCCTCCGCTCATACGTTGAGCTCTGTGTCTGCAGGACAGAGAGGATTCTCCACTTCCCCACCGCCCTGGGGATGCTCACCCCACGTCCCAATCCCAGGCAATGCTGACGAGAGCATCTCTTCTGCTGTTTCCAGGTATGGCCTTTGGCATCAGGCCGGCTGGGGCAGTGCTTACACACCATCCAGACCGAAGACCGAGTCTGGTCCATTGCTATCAGCCCATTACTCAGGTAAGGGAGACGTTTTTGGATATGGTTTTGTCCTGTATAATAATGCTTTTATTTTATGAGGTTGGGTGGGCTAGAAAGCTCGTCCACCTGCATATTCCAGGTTGCTTTAAGCCTCTCTCCTGGAGATTTTGAAAATCCTCCAGAGACCTAAGGTGTGTGGCTCACATCATATATGTGTGAGGTGGAGACAACATCCCAGGGGCTAACTTCCTGGGCGTCTACCCCAGAAACGGTGAAGGAAAAGATACTGTTAAAATGTAACTGACTCCAGTTGTTACAAGAGTGCCCCTTCTGGAGCATATGCTCTCTGGAGTCGCTTCCAAAGCAGAGGCCTGTTAGCACTCCTGGGAAGTGACCACACCGGCCAACCTGCTCTCACAACCCACATCTGTGGTTTGTTCCCCTTGGAAAATGTCTTCTAGAGTATCGCTTACAGAGCTGAGTCATCCGGAGAGGCGTGGGGCCCATGTCCAATTGGGCCCTCATCCAGAGACATGTATGTGGGGTAGATTGAGCATCATAGCAGACATGCCAAATTTTTGGTGGTAGCCTTACCTTCCCCCTTGGCCTGTCTGTATTTCTGTGGCTTCACCTCTAAGTGAGTGAGCTTTGCATCCTGACTTCTGCTTTCCAGGCTTTCTTGAACCAAGGCTCTCCTCCCCAGCAGGGTACATAGACTCTCTCCTGCACCTGCTCCGTCAGACGGTTTGTTTTTCTAGGGTCTTCCCCCTCACTGCCTTCGTCCCTCACTCCCCACCTAACGAGCAGTGGGAAAGCTGGGGGGCTGCCACTCTTCTGCCCTGGGTTTAAGTCTGTCGCTCGTTTTATGAGAGAGTGGGTTCCCCACCTTGCTCAGCCCCCTTCAGCCTCCTCCTCCTTACTCCACGGAGCCTGCACCCCTCCTCCTGCCCCCTTCTGCAACTCCCTTTCAAATTTTTTTTCTTTCTAAAGAATTAGAGCCGATTAGCCACGTCATTAATTCTTCAATTTGACGGCTGATATAGCAGGACCTGAAACACACTGCTGACCCCAGAGAATGGAGACCCCGTTCCTTAGCATATTGACGATGAGAGAAGTTAATTAAAATTCCACAGAGCGGAGGTGTCGGCTAACCTATAAACCTGTCGCTGTTCAGAACAAATCATTCTAGCAATCCTAGGAAAGCGGGAAGGCAAGACCAGCAGGGAGTAGAGAGGCCTAAGTGTGTGGGAGCGGAGGGCGGAGAACAGAGCTGTTGAGCACTGTCCTCTCCGCAGTTTCTTTCCACTGCTGCCCGTTTGAAAGCCAGTTGGTCAGGCTTGGGGGCCTGTGGGCTGGGTATGTGTGAGGACTGAAGGGACCTGTGGGAGGTGGCAGATGGGCTGGTGACTGTCCTGTGGACTTCTGCTGGCTTTGGACTAGGGAGAGCTGGGGTGGGGCCGGTGGTAGAGGGGAAACCCTTCAGGGCTGGAGATTTAGGCCAAAGAACACGGCCAGGCCCTCTCAGCACCCCATCCCTTAGTCCTCTACTCCGGCCACCTCTCTGGAATGTGGTAGGCTACCCTTTCACAGTAGAGCACGTGTTGAAGCACGTGTTCACTTTAACAGTTGAAGATCGTGTCTGTGAAAGAGGTTGAGGACAGAGTCTAGCCCGTCATTAAGAAGCATTTTCGAATACAGTAAATGGAGTTTTGTTTTGGCCACAACCTGCAGACTGGCTTTGAGGAAGGACTTAGCTTTCTGACAGTACTAGCATTAATCTACCACAGCCCGCACTACTAGCTGCTGCTGAGCATTCGCCATTCGCCCTGTGCCAGGACCTTTGCCGAGTCCTTGATATGCTTCATCTTCAGTGAAAACCTGGGTCTTTTGTTTTCTCATTCTCCTTCAGAGGCTTCTTGTCCTCTTGGTGTCCTGCCTTGGCCCTAGGGTGACGCTCACTCACTACCAACTGGACCATAGTTGTTTGAGATGACCTCTTCCCCAGCTTGACTCTTTGAAAATAGTTTGCACTTGGGGCTCTGTCTTTACTAGAGGGCCATGGTATATGCTGCTGTTCTCTCTACCCCATTTTCTTTTACCCTGAAAAGTACTGGGATAGGGATGTTTCATCCTATTATTAGATCCATTTCTTCTCCCTGCGTCCATGAGTTTGAACCTTTCAATGAGCTCATCCATTTTCCCAGTCTGGGGAGACACTGCCTCCTAGCCTTGGGGTCTGTGCTGGAACACTGGGGTTCTGCTTTCCCACCACCAGCAGGGTAGCCTCGGGAAGCCATGCCCTTCTCTGAGCCTGTTTCCCCAACTATTAAATGAGAATACAGTTTCCTTTATAGGCTTTACTAGATTATTGTGAAGATGACCTGAAATAATGAGTAAGAAAATGCTCTGCAAAGCCAGAAGGGCTATCTCCTTATGGCAACCAGAATCTCTCCTCTTGGGGAAAGCCTTTGTTTCAAGGCTTTAGTTGCTGTTTCTCACATCTCCAGCTTTGCCGGGGGCTTCTCCTGGCCCTCCTGGAGTTCCCCTCCTCCTCAGCAGTCTTCTTGAGGTAGGAACTCTGCAGGAATCTCTTTCCTTCCCCCCCCCCCATAGTGTTTCTGTCCTCGCTGTCTTCTCTTCCCCTCCCTGCCACCTTCTCTGTTGAGTATGGTCGTTGGTATGTATGAGTATGGTCACAAGTGTGGCCACTAATAGGATGTGACCATGAACTTCTCATGAAGAACATGAGTGGAGGTGGGCAGCAGCTGTCCTCTGGGTCAGGTGTCCCTGGGTTACCCGACGATGTCCCAGTCTCTCACTGCTCCCTTGTACCTCTCTCTAGAAGACACATGAATGGTTAGGAGACCCGCCGCATCCCTTTTCTCAATCTCTTTCTTCTGTTGAAAACCATTTGTGAGAGCTTTGCGTCGTATTTATCTAGATGCTGGGGCTGGCTGCCTTCTTTCCTTATGTGTGTGCTTAGACACTTGTAGCAGGAAGCAGGAAGCCTCAAGCCTCCGGCTTTATTTGAGGTGCTCCTGCTGGGAGAAAGCAGGTATTCCGTCCCATGTCCACATGTCACCTTTCCTTCCTTCCATGACCTTGAGTTCTTGATCCATAAACAGCCATGGAGGGTGATATTTAATACCAGATATGTGCTTAAAGCTGTGTTTAGGTACTCAAAACCACAGAAGGAAAACCAGTAGTCTCCACAGGAGGGTGGCAGACAAGGACCTTTTTCTCTACCTCTTGTGTGCCCTCCTACCCGTCTTCTTGCCCTGACGCCAATAATCCTGTTTTTAAGATTCATGACTTACAGGTGAAGCCCTCCTGTAGCGGAGGCCCAGCCTGGAGCTTTTGATGAGTGAGAGAAGGGCTGTGGGAGGCTCACCTGCGGTGGGAGGGTATATGTCTGGGTATGACTGAGGATCTCACAAACAACCTCCCCAGGTCACGTTGGATTCTGAGCACTTTTCCATGAGTAACACAGAAACGCAGAGTTTTAAAAATGTGCAATAAGTTTTGTTGCCACTTAAAAATTATTTCCAAAAGGAAACTATTTCCAGCTGAATAAAGTTGGCAAACACTCAAGAGTGAGGAAATACAGAACTGTTGAAGACTCCATTTCCTTCCCTCTGACTTTCTATCCCTTCCTTCTTTCCTTCCTCACTCCCTGTGTAATGACTGAACTTGGTATGTGGAAGCTCCTGTGAGGATCCTACTCC